AAAGGTGTGAGGCTTATCCTTCTCTCACACAGCCTGCAAGAAATGCAAAACTCTAGAACTCTTGGTTCAAAGATGATACCTTTTATTAGACCAATTAAGAAATTGCAAAAAATATATATCTCTTTCGGCAAGCTTTTGGGCAGACATGCACTTCCTCAGGCTTAGGGAAAATTAAACATAACCTGCAAGACTTTTGTGCTTAAGTGAAGAAAATTCACACAGGTTCTGGTCCCTATCCAAGCAGCTAAACAAAAAAGATTTATTAATTGTTAGTTTTTCTTTACAAACTTGAGTCAACCTCATTGGTTTCAGAGTAATGGATTCTCACAGGGCAGATATGATACAGCAGGAATGGAGTTAGGTGGTGGAAAGAAAAGGTTGGAGGTCCAAAGCAGAAGCAGAGTGTCTCCATCCTAATACATGCCAAGAGATCAAGAAAAATCAAATCTCAACATAGACAGTTTATTCTGCAGTTGGCTGAGTGATCCTTGTTTTTCCTTATTCCTTAGGAATGTCACATATCAGGGACTGCCCTTTTAGTTTGGGACTAAATAACTGGAAGAAGTGTTCCTCAAATTGACCCTGGGTAGGGATGTAAACAGTTAAGCAACGATTGTATTTATACCACTTACCATTTAGTGACCTTTGACAGGAACAGCCGTGGTCCCTTATATTTTCACCATGTTCATGGTACTACATGGTCCCCAAGTCACTGATGGGGAGCTATGGGTGAGAGATGGCAGATATGGCTAAGCCACTAAGCGGCACTGCACAGCCTCAGCTTCCCCTCATCCCCACAGGCAGGGGTTGGGGCTACAGATGAAGCTGGGGCTGCATATTTCTCCTGTGCCCAGATCCCACCACCACAGGGAGGGAGGGAGGAGTTGGGCCCTGACAGAAGTCTGGTGGGGTCTTCCCACCATAGTAGCAAGACTCCCAGCCCCACAGTGGGTCTGCCTACCCCCGCCACCCCCCATAGCAGTGGGGACCAAGCAGAGAGGCAGGCTCCCTGTGTAAGGGGCCAGGGCCGCTCCTGCCAGAGGTCACTAAACTAGGCGTGAGCTATCAGTTAACCGTTTAACCACTATAATTGGAGAAGGTTAAACAGATTTTTTTTAACAAGATTTAAGTCCCTAATTCAGGGATGAAATAAGTTGTTGGGGCAGTAATGAATCACTAAAACAGCAAAAATTCTACTATATATGTGGTTAGCGGTGTCCTATTTCACAGGAAGCTATTTTTCAGTGCAGGCTGCAGGAAATTATTTGACAGCATTCAATATAAAAAGTGGTATTTAAATGTAAGAATTCCTAATACTTAAGTCTATTCAGCATTCAACAGCAATTTCCCTGCTAGACAGAAAATTTTAGCAAAATCTTCTGGTAACTTGCATTTCTATCATTCTGGTTCATATAGTAATTACTTGAAATAAATTAATCAAAAGTTTTCCCCCTAGAGACTAAGTCATTGTTTCTTTTTCTGAAAAAAAATTAAAAACATTACTGAGCATCTTTTGCTAACGGAATTTGTCAGCACAGTTTCTGAAGCTAATAAAACTATGTACCTATTTAAAAAGGAAAAGTGGTATTATTATAATATGCAGCATCTTTTAAATACAGTTGTGAAACATAGTAGCAACCCAGAAATATCATTTTGTTGTTATTGGACAAGAAGGATGGGCTGTTGGTCTAGACAGGAAGAAAAAAAAATGCTATACCAGGGAACCCTTTTAACTCTAGTAAATACTTGAAATAAAGCAGGGTTCCAAATAAATATTTTTCTCTATCTTCTCCTTATAAACAGAAAATTAACAGACATGGAATACAGCTGGGCCAGAGCCAGCCCACACATTTTGTCTAAAACAGAGCTTCTACATCATATAAAGAGTCTAACTCTCCATAATATTTACAAGTATGCCCACTGAGTTATTCAGTTCAGAGATAAATGGAAGGTAAATGGGTAAGTACTATCTTGTATTGTGACAGGTATTCAATTTCCTGATCACAAATGTGAAGTCTCCCAGTTGACTAAGCACTACCATTTTCAGATATTGATCTTTTGCTTTCTTACACATTTCTAAAATTTGTTTTCCAAGATAGACAATCACTTGTGGAAAAACAAAAAAAAGATAACCTAAGGAAATAACGCTGATAACATTCACACCATCAACCATCCATTGCTTCTCCATTGCCAGTTTCTAGACAGCTTCAAGATCCATGATAGTATTGGGGCAGATGTAGTTGGGGCACCCCCTTTGATTCATGGTCCACCCAAAATTTAAAAACAACTACTTGACAAGTGACAGCAGCAATTCTATGTAGACAGCAGATACAGAGTCAGTTAGCTTCATGGTTTATTATAATCCAAGTTCTCATTTCTTCTAAACTCTTCATTCTACAGATGTTAACCCTCTCCTTTTCAATGGTCTTGATATTTCACCAATCAAGCTATCCTTTGTTCTGCAATTCTCCTGTATGTTAGTGGCTCCTGATAATGTAGCTCCTATATCACAACTCTGCAGACTGATTTTAACTCTAGCTACAAAGTGTAGAAAGGTTAACTCAGGTGCGGAAATATCTTTCACTAAAACGTAGTGTCAAGATGCTCAAGGAGACTAGATTTTGGTTTATGAATCTGAGATACATGCTTCTAATTCTAATGACTACAGGACTAATGAAACATTTTCTGATTATTTTTTCCTAGTTTGTTGCGTTTTCCCCACATAACAGATGATACTACAAATTAATGCATGTTGCAATAAAGTTGTTTGTTTGCTTTGACCTTCAACTAAATAATACAGCTCTAGGCTGCTAGCATATCAGTAAGGTCCTAGATTCTTTTTAATTACAGAAAAATGTGTCTTGTACCATATGCAAGAATTCACCATACTTTCTGCACCCCTTCCCCCCTTTTCAAAACTCTAGATTTGCTCGTGAGTAGGATATACTATTCACTCATTTCTTGTCAGCAGCCCTTTTTGTAATCTATTTCAGCTGATAATATGCCCTTTACAATCTAGGAGACTTCTTTTCAAAGGAAAGGGGAGATATCATTCCCTAGCTGGTAGGCTATGTAAACAACCTATAATGATATTCCTACATATTCTTTAGCCAAGATATGTGGTTCTAAAGAGAGGGACTTGAAATAATCTTAGAATGACCTACAAAGCTTTTAAAGGTTACCTTCTGCTTTATTGAAGATAGATGGTCACATCCTTTTCTGATGAATGGGAATCAGTTTGATAGTATTTCTTTGCATGACAAAACAGTGATTGAAAAAGCAATATGACTGAAAACAGCAGCCTGTTTAAACTTCTGATTGAAGAAAGATGACTGTAGACTGAGAGGAAGATGGACTTGGCTTCAAGGAATTTATGTCCAACTGGCCATCTTGAGTGAAGAGCCATGACTTCTTGAGTGTGACAACTTGTTGATTTACCTTTCTTTTCCTGACTTTGCTGCATTCCCAACCTCCCTGCTTGAAGTTACGAATTTATTATTTTCAGCATTTCATCCTTTGTTGTAATGAGCAACTTTACTTGATCCCTGTACTTCTGTCTGGCTTTTCTTTATCATCAGACTGTTAATTCCTTTGATCTGTGCTCATAAAAGCTTTTTTTCACCTACACATGCACTGCTTCATTCCCCCTAGCAACAACAACAAATCAACATTCAGCCCCTGGTTTAAGCTACGAAAAGATAACCTAGAGGCCAGGGAGCACCTCAATCTCCTCCTCATGCATTCTCACTGAAAATGGTTGTACAGACAATTGTACACATTTCAATTTTGATTTGTTTTTTATGTCAAATGTTGACCAGGCATATTTCTTGAAAGCCTCTGGAACACTTCTGGGATATCATAATGTAACCTAATATAAAAACACAAAATGTATTCCCACCCTGACACAGGTGCAAACAATATAATGGCTTCCTTGAGGATGTGCTCCATGATTTTTCCAGGGACTATATATTTGGTTCATTTGTTTTGTTTTTAAGGGGAAGGGAGAGAAAGGTGTGGTAAGGATTTCCAGAAAGAAACACAATATCTCATCTGACGCTCATGAAGTACCAACGTCATATACAGACAATCAGAGAAAACAAGAAACAGCTGTGATTTTTTTAAAACATCATATAAATGTGTCTCCTGGTTCAAAACCTATTACATTAATCAAACTATGAATCATTTCCTCAACACAAAAGACTGATGATCATATAACCCATGCAAAATTCAATTTGAGGAAAATGGAGAGCTAGCAAATAATCTCCTAGCACAGAAATACTGACTTAAACTAGTCAGTCTCACCCTCGCCCCTCCACCATGTGAATATCATAATGCACTTTTGAAATAAAGTACATACAGGAGTTTGAAGTTGATCATTCTTTGCTTTTCTTCTCTAAAAGATATTGCAGTCTAGAAGCTGTGGATCTGAAACATTAAGAGATGTCTACAGTAGAAGGCTGTAACGCAATATTACAGCTGAGAACACAGATGCATAAAAATGCATAAAGTCACCAGTTACCATATACTGACCACAGTGCATATAACCAGTTTTTAATATAAGCAACACAGCATATTAATATAAAATGCCAGAACATTCACCTGCAATAACTTAAGGTAGTACAAATGCTGAATATTTTAATTTCCAATGTTAAAACTACTCTTACATAGCTTTCAATTAATATATATCTATAATCTGTTTTTTAAAAATGATGTGCTTTATCTCTCTGCCAATTTGAATTCAATTTATGATTCAGGATATTTTAAAAGCTTTAGCTGCCTTTATTTTCCTTCTCTCTTCCCACCTGTCTGCAGAAACAAAATTGCCTAGATTCAAATGCCTAGGACTTAAAGTAACCCATAATGAGCCTCAAAAGCAGTGGTTAGTCTCTTTCTCTAACACAGCATTTAGTCTTGCTTGCTCGGATTGTTAGACAATATTAAGGCCTCCCCTTCCCCAAAAAACAAATAAAAACCAAAATAAACCCCCAAACTTACTGCACCTTTATTCCTGGACAGTGGGCAAAAAAGGCTTCTGGACTTTGAGAATGATATAATGCACCATGACCTACACAACCCCAAGGTGCTCGTATTGTGAGACTTCCACAGTTGAAGAGATCTCCAGAGCGATAGCGATATTTTGCTGCTTCATTAACAATCTGCATAAGAGAGAAAAATAACCATTTCAAAAATCTTTTCTATACGTGATCAATATTAATGCCAACAGCATGTAAAGTTACGTGTACAGAAACACACAGTGATCATCCCACAATGCTGGTTTCTTTATAGTCAACAGCAAGGTATCCTGAGAATAATATGTTCTTCTTCACCTCTCTTCCAAAAACATGCTCTTTTTCTAAAACAAAATGGTAGGAAGGCATTCCCTAACAATGGTTTGAAACAACATCCAACAAGAAGCCAGTGACAGAGCTGAAAACAGAATCCAAGCTTACTAAATCCCACTCTCATATCATTTCTACTGAACATGCTGTACCTAATCTCATATGCCTTGCTTTGGCCTACTCTTTTTGGTTTTTAACTTGACACTTGTACATTTCCAGTTACCTCAAGCATATGTAAATGTTGGCAACACTCATGACTGTGAAAATACATGCAATTATGGGAGTAAAATCTTAATTTTGATGTTCACTTTCTCATCTACCAGTAGTATTATTTACATAGTTTGGGTCCCTTAACTTCTCTAAAACTATCTAAACTAACCTGATCAAATGCTGGAAAAATGTAGTCAGCAAACTGGATTTCTGCAATGGCTGTAGCACCAGTAACTGCAACTCCAATACCAAATCCAACTATTCCTTGTTCACACAATGGTGTATTGAAAACTCTGTCTTTACCTGAAAAACAAGGAGAGCTTTTAATACATTAAACTGTAAATAGAAACACATTTTACTTTTTTGTGCCCAAAATGATGCGCCTCATTAAATCTCATACATTTGTGCATATATGATTCTGTAGGTGATTTCTATATACATATAAAAATATAAGTTAGGAAAAGTTAATTAAATTTAACAAATATATTGGTGATGCACAGGAGTATAACTGTCTTTGTTCTATGGTAGTTTTTTAAAGTGGGGGGTGGGGGAAGCAAGAGCTAAAATAACCTGCCCAAGCTCACAGTAGAAGAGCCAGGTATAGAAACCAGAACACATTATTTCCAGTCTTTTGTTCTAAATGCAAGAAAACCCTCCCTTACATGCTGAGATACTTCTGTGGAAACAAGCCAGATTGTCTGTTAAAGGAAAAGACTGAAGAGAAAAAAAAAAAGTGGGGGAGGAGGGAAAGAAGAGAAAGCATTTTCTAATTCCTGAAGTGCCAAGTAAAAAAGTACCCAGAGCATAACAGGAATCACAGAACTGAAAGGGATTAGCCAGTTTATTAAGCTCAGTCTTCCATGAATCCTGATAATCACATACTAAGTATATGTCCAAAAGCTCCAGAAGAACATCCACCCTATACTGCAGCCACAAAACACCCCATAATAAACTTTGGATCTTTAGCATACATGCAAAAATATATAAATAGTCATTTTTGCTCATGGTTCTGTTCTTATCTTCCCTTTTTAAAGCTTCCCATTAGTTCCCTGTTCTCCACTTCATCACCTTCAAGCAAGCATAATTTGGCACTAGGGCCAGAAGTTACGCACAAACCAATTTAAGTGATCAGAAACTGGTTTAAACCTGTAACAGAACAGAAGCTCACCCCTTTCCCCACTCCAACTTATTGCTGGCTGGCTGCAACTGTGGACTACAAATCCCAGAGGTACCTGGAAGCAGGAAGAGGAAGTGATGAGCAAACCTGCAGAGTCCTGCTGCTTTAATTTTGGACTATAAATCCCAGAGACCTTGGGGTCAGCAGGAAGAGGAAGTAAACATACAGCCAGAGATCAAAGGTAAATGTCTGTTCACTTCTGCTTCAATTTAATCTGTGCAGTTTAGACTAACCTGAAAAGAATGAATCGATTCAGCCTCAGGTTTTTTGACTGTCTGTACCTTGCCTGGGACTATCCCAGCATGGAGCCCTCCAGGTAACACATGGGGCAGGGAAGCAATCACAACTGTATTTTCACCGTACTGCACATTACCCCTATGCAATAAACAGAACTTCCCTAACTAATCCAAAAAGCCACTACCCTCTCCTTTATCTGCCTTCTATGCTCAATTGTAAAAGCTTTGCAAAAATAAAATTTCACATTTTAACTCAATTCTTACGCTGACTCATCAGCTGACAAAGGTTGCGCAACTCTGCCGAGAGCTGCTGATTAGACTTATGGAAAACTTAAAAAAACAAAGAAACCCTAGCTGTTAGAAATAACTTTCATGAACTAAATAATTCAATAGTCAATCAGCCACCTAATCAGATGGTAGTACATTAGAAATCCTATGAACATCAGTTTCAAGAAAAATCTTTTTAATTTATTCATGAGCATTTCTGTGGAACCGAATGCCAAGCTATCTGCTTCTAGTAAAGGAAAAAAACAAAAGCTTTAATAGTATCCAAATGGGCTGAAAACAAAAATAATTATCCCTAAATGTATAACCAGACTATAATAACTCAGGCAGAACAGCATTGTTGTCATGCAGTTCTCTGGCTCATCATCTACTTGCTGTTTTGAAAATGGCTGAAACCATTACTTTGTGTAATACAGTTCTCTGCAAGGATTTTCAAACTAATTTTATACCTGAAAGCATTCAGAATTACTAGCTCAAGGAGACGAGCTGTAGACATAAAATTGTGGACATGCCCCATAGCCACCTCCCATTTATTGTTACCCATTAAGCTTCCAGAATGATTCAGTGTTATATCATGACACCATGGCCCAGTGTTAGTAAATATGATAGGTGCTGTTACTATCCTGTTAAGTATTGATGCATTAGGGTTTTAAGTTATTTCAATTATAAAGGAAAAAAACAACAGTTTATGTAATGAGATGTAAAGAACGCATTGCCATACATAGTATTTAAAAAAAATAGATGCATTCTTTTGGGATCTAGTATTTTGAAATTACTTTACTCTTAGGTGGTTAAAGTTTGATCTTCAAAGGTGCAGAATATGCAAGTTGAGTCAACCCCACCCAGAATCGAGCATAAAGCTGAGGATACTATTGGCCCTAAACTGTGACAAACAAAAAACACTCCCTCTAGGAACATGACTAAGATGCACATTTATTACTGGTACTTAACTGCCATCCGGTATTAACATTTGGTTACTGACAATCAACGCCCCCATGTTATTACCAGTGAGCTAGGCTACCCACAACTTTCAGGATGCAGTACATCCCCATTATAAAGAACCCTGCTTATAAAACCTTTTGGCTTTTAACAATTCTCAACAGT